TGTTTATGCCAGCCACTATCGGAAGAGCAATTTCCGAAGTAGTGTTTTGGAAAACTGGCATGATTTTGTTCTGAAACACATTCTGTAGAAATAAGCTATGTAAATCGGTGAAAAAAGAGAGATATGGATAATTGCTGAGTTGCTAACAATAATCAATCAACAACAGTAAAAATAGGGTGATTGTCAACAGGACATCTTTCTTACTCTGAAGAGGTTACACGTTTACGACTGATGATAAATAGCATACTTTTAAAATGTATCTCTTGGAACTATCAGGAAAAAATTGCTTAGCAAATAATGTGGAAGAGGTAAACAACCTTCGTTGGAGCGAAAAATACCTAAGCGACGTTTTCTTTGGAAAAAATGCAATGGACTTCGCCTTTTATTTCAGCAATGCTACGATTTATAGTTCTTCAAGATCATGCCAAAACCCAAGTTGTGTGTCTCGAGAAGCCGTAAAAATGTGGGGAAACTTCAAGAAGGTGCTGGTCCTTTATCGCGTTAGAATCGTTTTCGCAGTTTTATGAAGAGAAAAAGAGGGAAATTTCAATTATTGAGACAAAGTCACCCCAAATAATCCTTACAAATTCAACCACGGCTTCTAGACTACGTATTTATTTTATTTATCCTAGATAGCTTGCTAACCTTTTTTTTTGAAGACTAATGTTCCATCATAAATACCCATACCAGTTTAGCGCTGAACTGACATGGTGAAGGTAATGATGTTGATATAGCCTTCACAACTGACCACCTATGCTACTACGTAGATGGCGCATAGTGAAGGCCTAGTAAGTAATCACCTAGCTCTTCTTTTAATGTGGTGGTTTTTGTGTGGCGTATATCTCCGGGGTCAGTGAGTCAAATAAAAATTAGGTAACACTATTTATCTGTTTTAAGCTTTCCAAAATGCTCTCTGAGTATGAGTTTGAAATTTATTATATATTGGGAATGTTTTCTAGGAATAGAAAGACTATTGAGAGATTTTTAAATTTTTTTCCCAACTTCTCTTCCATGTAGTATTCTTAGCAGTTCCACTGAATTTTCTTGCAGTCACTTACGTTTAGTTGACCCTAAAAATTGCGTAATGGCACAAAAAGTGTGCAAACACTACATCACAAACATTCTCAGGCACTTTCACATTGCACTATAGAGTAGAAAGTAATTCCAGTTTGTACTCAAGGTCAGCTGAGGTAGACTGTGACATTCACAGTTTGAAATGTCATGTTGGAGTAGAGGGAAAGAGGGAAGAGGGTCGTAATAGGAGAAACAGCGTTCAGAAAACCGGAGTGATGAATGCTATTGTCAGCAACCAGAAGATTTTCTACAACTCAATGATTTTACAGTTTCCGTCTTCCTACATCA